GGCTGCCGGGCAGAGCTCCGGCAGAGCAGGCAGGCCCCAGGTTGAGTTGCGAAGCTCTGCCAGGCTGAGAAACCCAAAGCGGTTCTTGTGGGGGGTGACTTTGCACCTCAAAATGTCCCCCTGGGTGCCAGCACAGAGGGAAGCTGCCGCCCCTCCGGCGTCTCCATTCCCCCTCCTTCACCCTCCCCAGGGCCCCATGTATCCTCTCCTGGGGGTCTTTATCACATTAAGCGTTTCCCTGGTTTTCCACCCGGAATGAGCAGCTGTGTCATGGCTGGGGAGGGGGACACGGGTGCTGCCACAGGATCTGGCCATGGGGGCGCAGAAAAAATTCAGATTATTGTCCCTGAAGTCCTCCAGCTCAGCCGGTATCCCGTGTGATTGACAGCTGTCAATCCTTGCTGGAGATGCCCTGGCTTTCCCACGCTCCTCCTCTTTTTTGGGTGCTTTTAAAAAGCCCAATATTGGGTAAAAGCATCAGGAAAAAGACGTTTCTTGGCAGCTCGGTGGGTGCCGCGGGTAAGTGTCGCGGCAGCTCGGGGCTCTGCAGCAGGTGTCCCCCGGGTGTTTTGGCGAATTTGGGGTTGGGGTTTTGCCACCAGCAGCCTTAGGGTGGGCTTTGAGGTGCCCCACCAGCTTCAGTCCCTGCCTCCACTCCTGCCTCTGCTGCCTCTCCTTGCAGCGTGCTGGGATTCGGGGCGGCTGCAGGTCAGGGCGACGCAGCCTGTCTGTTATCTAAAAATAGGGTGGAGTGTTTTTCCCACTATTTACTTGATTTCCTGCCGGGGCGGTCAGCCTGCCGAGGAATCCATTGAAGTGCCGGGGAGTTCACGCCGTGTAAATATGGGGAACAAGCTGCTTTTTTAGGTCTTATTTTTCCATGAGGGAGCAAATGGGCGGCAGCAGGGTACTTGCCCGGCACAGCCCCGCTGTTTTGGGATGCTTGTTTCTGTCTCCCAGGGGACATCAGACCCTGCCACCCCCTGTCGCCATCTCCCCACTGCCACCCGTGTTTGCAGCACCCACTGTCCCGCACGCACAGATCTTAATTGCTGGCTTCTCCTTAAATAACAAGGAAAGCTGCAAGCAGATAGTTAGCTGTCACCTTTAGCCCAAGCAAACAGCTGTAACCGAGTTATAAATCCTTAAAATTGAGTTTTTAATGGAAACATTAAAATAACCTTTATCTGTTAGCGATAGGACTGTGCTGGGGTAATTTATCATCTTGGTTTCTCGCTTCTCCAGCCACACCTTATTAGTTCCCAAGCTAACGAGGGGATATTTATCCTGGGCTCTCATGGAGTGCCAGTGGGCAAACACCCAAGCCCCAGCAGCACTGCAGAAGCAGGGAGGTGCTGTGCACCCCGCATCTGACCGATGCACTGCTGGGGTGAGCTGGATCATCCCCAGCCTTGGCCAGGGAGGGATTCCCTGGTTTAAATGATGCCCAGATCCAGGTTTTATAGTGGCCAGGAACCCCTTGCTGGGATGGCGTTGGCTTAAGAGGGTGGTAAATAAAGAAGCTGCGTGTTTGGGGTCTGCTCGTGGAAATCTTGGGAGTTCCTTGTTTGAGAGCAAAGGGAAAGTGTGTTTTTTTCCAATCCGAGGGCGTTGCAGTGCGCGGTCAGCTCTGTCTCTGGTGGGAATCGCTGTCAGGTGTTAGATGTGCATTGCTGCTGTGTCATTTATGTGCCTGTTCGCGTCCTCGTGCAACCGCGCTGGCTCCGAACCCACTTCCCACCAGCGCAGCCCGGCCCAGGCATCCCGGGGATGTGGGTTTGCACCAGGGCACAGCGGCCTTTCTCAGCGCCCGTGGCTGCGACGCTCCGGGTGCGGGATGCAAGGGAGGGCTGGGCTCCCCGTCTACGGACCCCGATCGAAATCATTGCTATGTCTCCGCACACCTTCAGCAATCGGTGCCGGGTTTTATTCCTCCAGTTAGTAATTTAAGAAAGCCTGGGGTGTACACAGCCGGGCTGGTCCTTGGAGACGGGTGGATTGTCGTGTTGGAGAGCCGGACAATCTTTGCCTGTGCCGAGCACATGGGCTGGGATGCTGCTGCCTCAGAGATCCAGGAAACCCTGGAAAGCGGGACTGGAGATGCCAGCAGCAGACTTGGTGGGCTGGTGAGCTGGGTCGAGCCCTCCGTGATGCGGGGCAGGGCAATAATTCCCTTTGCAACTGCACTTTTTCTTGCAGAGCTCCAGACAGCTCTATTAAATCTTCCCTAGGGAAATACCCACCCAGTTTGGCTGGGAGGCAGCCCAGATAATGAAAACTTTCATAAAGTGAGGAAAGAGCCTGACTTAGCCTGTGTATCCACAGGCTGGGTCAGCTCAGAGAGCCTCTGCCCCAGGAGAAGGGCGAGACAGGTAATAAACCATCCCTCTCCCCCCAGCGCTTAAATCCCAGTGAATTCCTCCAGAGCAAAGCTGTTTTATTATTATTATTATTATTTTTTGTGGAGGAAGCCGCCGCAGAGCAGTGGGAGGGAGGTAAACACCAGATCTGCCCAGACTAGCGCCGAAATCTCTCCATGGCGGGAGTCGCCGCGGGGAGGATAGGGGCTGCTCCATCGCCTGCCACTGCCAAGCCCGGCAGCGCGCCGCCCTCCCCGGGAGAGCCCTGCCTCGTGGGGCAGGGAAGCGAACCAGCCACTTCATTTCCTTCCCCAAACCCCCTGGGGTCGCCAAAAATCTTCCCTTGGGAAGGCACCCTGTTTGCGAACCCCCCTCCCTCGGGGCTGGATTGTTCCTGGGTGCCCTGGCAGGGGTTTGGATGGAGGGGTGAGCGGGGGTCACTCCTGCGCCGTCGGCTTCATCACGGACCCCCCACTGACACCATGGCTGCTGCTGCTGGGCGGGATTTTCCCCTGGTTCTGGGGAGGTCCGGGCGGTTGTCGCACCCCTCCTGCCCCCCCAAATTCCCGGTGGGATCCTGCAGCTGTACCCAGTGGGGACGGCTCCATCAGATGTTCCTGCCAAGTGATGGGGAGGGGAGAAAAGGCCGGGATTAAAAAAGAAACAAAAGGAACCTAATGGATAGGCCAGAGGGAAGGTTTCTGGTGGTTTGGGTGGGTTCGCAAGTGGCTTTGAGGGTTCGGGGTGAGGGAGACTGGGGTTTTGGAGGTTTTCTGCTGGTTCCTCCTGCAGGGCCATCCCTGCACCCCAGAAAGCGCCGCGCCGGGTGTTACCGCCTAGTCCAGGGGCTCTGAGCATCCCAAATGTTTTCCCCCAGGAGAGTGCGCGGAAGATGCCAAAACCCCCGTTCCCAGAGGCTCTCCCGTCCTCGCGGGGAGTCGCTGCCTGTAAAACCGGGGCTGGCCGAGCCGAGGGGCACGTTTGCAGGGGCTGAGTGCTGGGTAGGACGGGACCCATCCTTCCACCCTAACCAAACCCGACGTCCAGACTCAAGAATCAGGCTTACCGACAGCAACCCCAGCGCCAGGGAGGGCTGCACCCTCCTCCCCGTGCCGAGATGGCCTCTCATCTTGGACAAACGCCTCCTCTCACCCGCTGTCCTCTCTCTGCCTGCAGGGCCGCAGGGGTTTGGGGTCCATTTTCGTCTGGGCGTCGGGGAACGGCGGCAGAGAGGGCGATTACTGCTCCTGCGATGGCTACACCAACAGCATCTACACCATCTCCATCAGCAGCACCACCGAGAACGGCTACAAGCCCTGGTACCTGGAGGAGTGCGCCTCCACCCTCGCCACCACCTACAGCAGCGGGGCTTTTTATGAGCGGAAAATAGTAAGTTTTACCCCAACATCAAGTGGGGCAGCATCCCCTGGATGTTCTCTGCATGACTGGGCTGGATGATAGCTCGGTTGTAAAAGCTGGGCTTTGCCCTTAGCCCTGTGGTGGGTTTTGCTGATGCTTTTTTATGGTGGGGCCAAAATTGCTGTAGCCCTTGGGAAGAGCTCAGGGATGTGGCGTTTTCCCTGGTAAATGGGTGAAAGGGCTAGAGGTTTGCAAAAATACCCGTGCAAATATTTACCTGTCCCCCAAAGTGCCTGCTCGCTGTCCTGTGCTTATAAAAAGGGAATTTTGAGGGGTTTTTAGCCTGAGACAGGGAATAAAGAGGGTGGATGGAGGTGTTTGGCAGGGATGTGGCAACCCTAAACAGGGAGCAGAGAATTTTTGGAGCCAGGAATTGCCTGAAAGCACGTGAACATGTGGATCAGCCTGGTTTTCCCTACTGCCCAGGCTGTATTTGCCCTGTCCCAACAGCTGCTGTGGTCTCGTCACAGCAAGGCCTTTTGTTATCGACATCCCTGTGCATCATCCAAACCTCGGGCAGTAAAACATCACCCACTGGCATGGCACCTTACCTGAGTTGAGAGGGAATTTTTCACCTGAATTAGTTTTTTGATTAAAAAAAAAGTGGGTTTTTACAAGTGGATTTTTTGTATTCAGGAGGGATTTGTTTGGCCCCTAAAATTTGTTTGGCTGGTTTTCCAGCCAGAAAACAGAATCCGAGTGTGACTTTCATGGCACTCAGGAGTGTTTGCACGGCTGAGGCCAGCACCAGTCCAGTGCTGGTGGAGCATCGCTGGGCAAAAAAGCAGCTTCCAAGGGCACCTCGGGGAGACACCGGGTGGCACATGTCCTCCCCCCTCCAGAAATCACCAGATTAACTCAAAACCCAGGAGCCTTTTAAAAATGTAACTGGCGGAGCATCTCTTTGCCCACCTCCTCTCTTTGAGCTTTTCGTACCCGAGCAGCATGCTCTGCCCTGAAACAAAAAAGCTGGAAATGGCTTCTTTTTTCTTTTTTTTTTTTTTTTCCCCCAATGCAAATGGAAATTCTTGCCTGACACCGGGAGCTGGAGCTTTTAAGGAAAGCATTTATATAGCACAGCTCAACATGCCCCCATGGGTGCGTACCCATGCCCGCCCTGCCCTGCTCACACCACTCCATCCACGGCTTTTCCTCCAGCTGACCCACGGCAAAATTGACTTTTTTTTACACTTTTGAACAGTTTTTGCGCCTTTGAGCAAAGGAAAACGTAAGCAGAGGTGTTTTCTCATGCACCAAATACATCTGCAACCCATCTTTTGGTGCTCTGGGCACCCCGATGGCATCGGAGCCGTGGCAGGGGTTGGGTACCCTCAGGCTCAGCTCCCCGCTGGCGGCATCCCAGGCAAAACTGGGGTGTTCGATGGGGTGGCACCCGTGCCAGGAGCATCTCTGGCAGCGCAAGGGCTGCAGCTCCTCTCTCCACAGGTCACCACGGACCTTCGGCACCGCTGCACGGACGGCCACACCGGCACCTCCGTGTCCGCCCCCATGGTTGCGGGCATCATCGCCTTGGCTTTGGAGGCAAAGTAAGTGTAACCTCACCGCTGGCTTGCGGGGGAAATGGTTCCACATTTAGTACCTGTCGAGCAAAACCAGAAAGAAAAAAGGTGGTTTTTTTTTTCCTCTGGAGCGACTCAGAATGGGGCAAAGTTGTTCTAAATAGCTCCTTTTTGGCAAGGTTTGACACAGTGTTGTTGTTTTGCAGCTAATCTTCCTGCAGGTGTTTTATTGAGCTAATTCTTCACTTGTTGCCATCTGTTGAAAAGTTGGGGTTAGTGAGATTAAGTCAGGCTTTTCATTTGGTGCCTTGAAACCGCTGACAGCCGGCTCCAACAGGAGTTTTATAAATACTTCCTGGAAAAAAAAAGTCAGAAAACATCACAGAAAATGGAAAATGTCTGTAGAAGTGATGGTTTTCAGCAACTGTTTCATTTCTGGGGGAAAAGGACTACTTTTGCATAATGTCAAAAACCCACGTGGCGTGACCAGCAGCAACACACTCCCCAGTTCAAACGAGCTGCTCTTTGCCTCTTGTCCCCATCCCGGTCTCGCCATTGTCCCCCAGCCCGGGAGCAGCCCCCGTGGGGGACCAGGCTCACCTGTTGGGCAACCCTGTCTTGCTCCATGGAGCATCTTCTCATGAGCTTCTCACTATTATTATTATTATTATTATTATTTTTATGGGGTGGAAATAAAAATAAGGCTGGGAATAAGCCGCAGGGCAGCGCTGTGCTTGCGTCCAGGGATGGCAATCACAGCGTGACGGCTCCAGTCCCTCTCCTCCAGTCTAATCCCAGCGCCCAGGTCGGGTGAGCATGTTTCTGGAGATGCCATTTTCATTACAAATATATTAAGAGCTTTAGAAGTAATTTTTGAATTGTTTAGCTGAGGCATATAACGCCACATTAAGTACCAGAGCTTGGTGCTCAGGCACTCCATTATGCCGAGAAGGAATAAATTGAATTTCTTTTCTTAAATGTTGCTCGAGAGCAATATAAATCCCAGCTTGAGATGCTGAAGGACCGACTGTAAGAAAAGCGTGGAAAATTCTTCAGCAATATCCCTGGGCTGGGGTCTTGGGGGGGGCTCAAAAGCACACAGTGCTCGGTATCCAGCACCCCGAACACACAAACCTCACACAAACCCAGCCTAGAGGGGGGGTTTGGAAACACTTTGGGTTTCATTTTTCTGGTAAATGAGCAACCTGGGGTTTTTCCAGCAATTTTTGCTGTTATTCCTATAAAGGCAAGGTTTGCTCAGCAGCATGTATCAGTGAGCTGCCGAGCCCAGCACCCTGCCTCAGGGTGTGCTTTGTTTCCCATCTCCTACAAGAAAATGGAGAAAACCTTCCCGATTCGCTCCAGTTATACCCCAGAGCGTGAGAGTGAAATACCCTTGTCCAGGAGTAAATCCTGCAAAGACCATGGGCACGAGGTATCGCTCCCTGGGGCATCCCAAGTGATTAGCAACCTCCAGACAGGGCATCAGCATTTAAATCATCAATTTGTGCTCTTTAGGAGCAGGGAAGAGGGTTTTTGGGGGGTGGTTAACCCAACGGGGTTCCTTGCTGCTGCTGGGAAGACTGGGAGCAGCACAGCCATCCCATGAGCCACGTGTTGTTGCAGCCCCCTGCTCACCTGGAGGGACGTCCAGCATCTGCTGGTCAAAACCTCGCGGCCGGTGCACCTGCGAGCGGCCGACTGGAAGACCAACGGCGCGGGACATAAAGGTGAGGGGCCGCAGGGGCGGAGGTGGCGTGGTGAAAATGGCCACAAAAGGGAAAATAAAGGTCCCCAGAGCTTCGTTCGTGGAAGTGTTCACCCTGGATATCCACTCCCAGCTGGTGTGGGTGCTCTGACCATTGGATTGTTGAGCGGAGACAGGAGAGGGCAGTAATTTGTGGGGCAAGATGCTTGGAAGCCTTGCTTGGTGAAGGCTTGGAGGCCTTGCTTGGTGAAGGCTCTCCTGAGCTGCAGCATTGATGGCTCCTTTTGGTGGGTTGCTCCCAGCAATGGGTTTTCCAAGCTGCCAATGCAGATTTGGGGTGTAAAGCAGGCAGGATGATGAGCTCCATGCGTCAGAGCACCTTGTATCCAACAGGACCAACTCCACGCCTTCCCCGATGGGTGGAGGATGCTCCACTAAGGTCCGAACAGGAGCTGCTGGCTGCTGCTGGGAAGGCAGTGGGTTTCTGAGTCTTCTCTCTTTCCAGTTAGCCATCTATATGGCTTTGGTCTGGTGGATGCAGACGCTATTGTGGTGGAAGCCAAGAAGTGGAAGGCAGTCCCTCCCCAGCACGTCTGCGTGGGAAGCCTGGACAGGGTGCCCAAGTGAGTGTTGTGGAGTAGTGGGCCTCTCCTGGGGCACGTGGCCACTTGGAAAGAGCTTTGGTGGAGCCAGCTCTTGTGATGCAAAATCTCAGTCGCTGTCCCGGCATTTGGAAAGGGAAATTAGAAGTCAGGGTGGCTGGGACAAGGCCATGTGTAGGGGAGGTGACGTCCATGGATTTTACGGTCAGAGCGAACCGTCACCTCAAGGTCTGTTTATTGACCTAGAAGTGCCCACCCAGGGTCAGTGCCTGTGGCTCGACTCCGAGCGGGTCCCGTGGGGGGTCTTCAGGATCAGCTTTGATGGCTGGTGATTTATTTTTGCCTTTTCCGTGCTTTTGCTTCCCAGGCAGGTGGTCAGCAGGGAATTTTTGAGGGCTGACAGTGAGAGACCAAAACCAACTCGCCTTCTAGGTCCTGCAGGAATGGCAATGTGTTGGGTTCTCCTCCCTCTTCCAGCAAACACCTCATCTTGATGGAACACACCAAAATCTGGTGCTTTGTTGCAAGGGTTCCCCGATTTCCACTGCCTGGGGGTCACTTTGAATTTGTCTTCAGGTTCAAACGAGCTTAGGTTCAAATCTCATCCTTGGTAGGTCTGTCCCTGCTAGGTTAAAGGGTGGGATCAGGGATCTGACCAAATGGACCCTCCTGGTTTACCACTGCCTGGCTGTAGAGCAAGTTGAGTTGTTGAT